ATTGTACTGTCTCCCATTTATCTTCAAATTGTCTGCAAATAGTTGGATGTAACTACCACAAACACCATTCGGGAGTCCTCTGTGGAGGGAAATACCCTCCTCCACGCTCAGCCCCATTGTGCACTGCCACCCGAGAACAAACAGTGAAGATATTTCAAAAGAGAGATGGCGACTTTGTAACAAAGCCTGGGAAAACGCCACAGCAAATTAGGTCATAACTCCATAATATCCTAACTCCTTCATCAGCTCAACCGCCCAGCTCATTAATTAGACTGTAAACTCTTTGGTTGGGAGCCATGTCTTCCTATGGGTTTATATAGCAGCTAGGACAGTGAGGCCCTGTCCCTGATTAGGGCCTCTGGGCACTTCTATAATATAAATTATAAATAAACTAATAATGGCTCAATGTCACAGTTTACAGACAGAATAATTAATATTCTCATGGAAAGGCAATAATTAATTAAAAGGACAAATAGCTTTATCACAGTTAGTGCTCATGGAAGATATTGGATTTATTGCCTGGATACTGAAGGCCTTTGTCCATAGAATAGCTTCAGCATGCAGGAGATTTCCCAAGGCTGCTCTGCCAATATGTCCAAGGGCCTGATTTTCAAAGGTAATAAGGTGTCTAATGGTGCAGATAGGCACCTAGGGTGGGATCAATAAAGGGACTTAGGTGTTGCAATGCTGAGCATCATAGCGCCTAATTTGTAGAGGCCTAGAAAATCACGCGAACACCATTGTGATCCACAAAGCCAGAGTTAGCCGCCTAGGCTCTCTATACAATGAATGGGGAGAGACATGTGCCTAAGAATGCCATCCACAAAAGCCAGCACTCTAGGCTAACCAATGAAAAGGGATGTCCTAGGCCCTGCTTCTCTCTTGGAGATAGGCACCTAAGCCCAGGCTGCTGGGAGGAAGCTGCTTCTTGAGGTTAGGTGCCTGCATCACTTCACACAAAACCCAGGGCTTGGGGGAAGGGAAGGATTTGGTGCTGAGTCTTCCTTACGATTTTTAGCAAGTGGTTAGAGCATGTGCTTGGGACATAGGAGACCCAGCTTCAACTGGATTTGAACAGGGGTGTCCTTTGTCTCAGGAGAGTGCTCTAACCACTGAGCTATGAGATATTCTGATTTAGGGCACCCTCAATCTCTCCTGTTGAAGCTGTTCCATTGTGGCTAAAGAAAGAAAACATGACTGGGTAAGAGAGAGCCTGTATAATTCAGTGGCTAGGGAACCCACGTGGGAGGTAGGAGACAAAAGGTCCAGTCCTTCCCCGCTCCAACCTCTCTTTTATTATTTATCCACAGTGGAACAGCTTAAACAGGAGAGACTGAGGGAGCCCCACATCGGAATATCTCACAGGTCAGTGGTTAGAGCACTCTTCTGAAAAGTGGGACAGCCCATCTTAAATCCTTTCACTGCTATGGCAGAAAGGGGGGCATTGAACCCTCATCTCCCATGAGTGCTCTAACCACTGAACTGTTCCCAGCTCTAACCTTGGCTCGCTGTGTGATCACCCACTTTAGGTATTTCACCTCGCTGTACCTCATTTTCTCCCATCTGTAAAATGGGGCAAGAAACCTGCTTTGCAAAGTTCTCTGAGATTAATGGATTAAAAAGTACCACATAGTATTACTCTAGGGATAAGACTAGTGCACCGTGTGTGTCTGCTGTCTGTGGCCTTGATACTTCTGTTTTCCCTGCCTTTAAAAAAGTGCTAAATTATTGCTAATTGTGGTGGTGGTTTCAGTGTTGTGGACTACATGGTCATTGGGAACTGAACTGAGCCCACTGAATCAGTTTAGATAGCTCAACAGTCACCCACTGGATGTAGGTCAGGTTTCAGATCTTATCAACATGGTTCATATTAGCACAGGAGATGTAGAGTTCCATATTTATTATGAAAACCCTAACCCATTTACCCCCATGCATACACCATGTTTTAATGGAATCCTGGAAGCTCTGGCTACCATATTATAAAATGACCATTGTATCTGAATAACCTTATTCTTCTACATTAAGAACACAGGCCCCTAAACCCATTCTCTAGGGACAGAGATGCTGTTCAAAAACAAAATCCAGGAGCTGGGTATATAGCTGACAATGAAATGTGGTGTTCTTTGTGAATCAGGAAGCCTGGATGAACCAGTCCAGTAAGTCAGCTCGCTCTTTTAGGTAAACAAATTGACAAGGAGAAAAGTCACTTTGATTTGGGAAAGTGATTTTGCACTGTCTAGTGGACTGAGCATGAGGACTGAGGGTCCTAAACGCCTGCCCTACTGCTGACTTGCTGTATGGCTATGGGCAAGCTATTTAACCTCTGTGTGTCTCACTTTCCCCATCTATACCACGTGCTCCAAAATACTGACAGTACTTACCTCACAGCTAAACTGTGCATCAATTAGGTAGTTTTGATATACCAGGTAGCCAATATGGTAAACCAATGATGTTACTGAAATACAGTGGTCACCCTGAACAATGGACCTTAGATAAATATGTAACATCAGTTACGAAAAAGACTACAAAAATGATTAGGGGTATGGAACAGCTTCCCTTTGAGAAAGATTAATAAGATTGGGACTTTTCAGATTGGAAAAGAGACAACAAAGTGGGGATATGATAGAGGTCTATTAAATCATGACTGGTGTGGAGAAAGTAAATAAGGAAGTGTTATTTACTCCTTCTCATAACACAAGAACTAGGGATTACCCAATGAAATTAATAGGCAGCAGGTTTAAAACAAACAAAAGGAAGTATTACAGAAGAACATCCATACTGGATCAGACCAAAGGTCAATCTAGCCCAGTATCTTGTCTTCCAACAGTGGCCAATGCCAGGTGCCCTAGAGGGAATCGTCAAGTGATCCATCTCCTGTCGCCCATTCCCAGCTTCTGGCAAACAGAGGCTAGGGACAACCTCCCTGCTCATCCTAGCTAATAGCCATTGATGGACCTATGCTCCATGAATTTATTTAGTTCTTTTTTGAATCCTGTTATAATCTTGACCTTCACAACATCCTCTGGCAAGGAGTTCACAGGTTGACTGTGCGTTGTGTGAAGAAATACTTCCTTTTATTTGTTTTAAACCTGCTGCCCATTAATTCCATTTGGTGACCCCTAGTTCTTGTGTTATGAGAAGGAGTAAATAATACTTCCTTATTTACTTTCTCCACACCAGTCATGATTTTATAAACCTCTATTATATGCCCCCTTACTCATCTCTTGTCCAAGATGAAAAATCCCAATCTTATTAATTTCTCCTCATATGGAAACTGTTCCATGCCCCTAATCATTTTTGTTGCCCTTTTCTGAATGTTTTCCAGTTCCTATATATCTTTTTTGAGATGGGGTGACCACATCTGCATGCAGTATTCAAGATGTGGGCGTACCATGGATTTATATACAGGCAATATGATATTTTCTGTCTTATTATCTATCCCTTTCTTAATAATTCCCAACATTCTGTTTGTTTTTTTGATTGCCGCTGCATATTGAATGGATGTTTTCAGAGTACTATCCATAATGACTCCAAGATCTCTTTTTTTTGACTGGTAACAGCTAATTGTATATGTATAGTTGGGATTATGTTTTCCAATGTGCATTACTTTGCATTTATCCACATGGAATGTCATCTACCATTTTATTGTCCAGTTACCCAGTTTTGTGTGATCCCTTTGTAGCGCTTCACAGTCTGCTTTGGACTTAGCTATCTTGAGTAATTTTGTATCATCTACAAATTTTGCCACCTCACTGCTTACCCCTTTTTCCAGATCATTTATGAATACACTGAATAGTACTGGTCCCAGTACAAACCCCTGGGAGACACCACTATTTGCCTCTCTCCATTCTGAAAACTGACCATTTATTCCTATCCTTTGTTTCCTATCTTTTTAACCAGTTACTATTCCATGAGAAGACCTTCTCTGTTATCCCATGACAGCTTTCTTTGTTTAAGAGCCTTTGGTGAGGCTTGTCAAAGGCTTTCTGAAAATCTAAGTACACTGTATTCACTAGAGCTCCCTATCCACATAGTTGTTTACCCCCTCAAAGAATTCTAGTAGATTGGTGAGGCATGATTTCCCTTTATAAAAACCATGTTGACTCTTCCCCAACAAATCATTTTCATCTATCTATTTTCACACAATGCACAGTCAACCTGTGGAACTCCTTACCAGAGGATGTTGTGAAGACCAAGACTATAACAGGTTTCAAAAAAGAACTAACTAAATTCATGGAGGTTAGGTCCATCAATGGCTATTAGCCAAGATGGGCAGGGACGGTGTTCCTAGCCTCTGTTTGCCAGAAGCTGGCAATGGGCGACAGGGGATGGATCACTTGATGATTGCCTGTTCTGTTCATTCCCTCTAGGGCACCTGGCATTGGCCACTGTCGGAAGACAGAATACTGGGCTAGATAGACCTTTGATCTGACCCAGTAGGGCCGTTCTTATGTTCACCTCAGTATCGGTGGCATACCCTGTAATTATGATAAGTATGGCCACTGATACTGAGGGGTCATTATGTTAGGGCAAAATTGGTACATTTAAAAACATTTCTCACTATTACTCCAACAACTGCAGCTCCACTGCTATCAGCAAAAGAGTGAACTCTAGTATAGATAAGGCACCAACGGCAGCTGGTGTTGTTACCACCATGTCACAAAGTCCTCCTCCGAGCAGGGTTAGATGACACAGTCATTAAAATGCCAGTAGTTGGCCTATGTTAGTGTTCCCACCATTGCTGCCAAGGGAAGTTTATTCACCTTGATGCTCCATTATCACCTGAATGATCCAACTAATCTTTTGAGATTCTATGAAGATTTGCCAGTTACTTTCCTGTCTTGGGGAGGGACACAATTACAGTAAGAACTTACAACTAACTAATGAGTCAAAAGCAATACAGTAACTTGTAATTAAGAAAAACAAAGTGAAGTTGTTTGTTTACACAGACCACAATAATATATAATGTTTAGTCATTTTAACCTACATAGCCATAACAACAAGTTTTGCTTCACTTAACAAAATGCCATCCCATGCAGTTAACAAAGCTCTGTATCATCTCTCTGTATAATGCTATACACATGACTGTTCCATATGATTTGTACTTCTTTTTATGGTTATATTACAGTTCAATGAACTAGCCATTTAACTACTTAAAAACTGAAAACATTCAGCTGACTTTTCTTGGATTTATCTGACATTAAGAAAGGAGAATTTCCAGGATTTAAAATGTCTGAAGTGGTGTGATTAAATGGTGAAATGAGTAATGTTGTAATGATTTGTAATTATTTAATAATTAAAGAGCTCTCATGAATATTCTGGAAACCCCTGTGGAAAAGCCCAATCGCGCACTAATTTCATCAAGCATTCAGATCAAATCAGAAATTATTTGTATAGCACCCTTTTTCCAGTGTACTAAATGCAGTCTACAAGCGAGTCACTTTTTAATTTCTTCTACTGTTTTCTATTCTATCTATACCATATGCATTAACATTCTGGGCCTTTTAAAACCGACATCTTGATTTAACATATGAAAGAATCACGCATTAATTGTGGCTGAACGACATTCTGAGTGCAGTAAAAGTGGTCAGATTTCATCAGCAGCATCGACTTCCTGTTGCAGGCTAAGGCGGAGTCAAATTGGGTTTGTAACTGCAGATGAATGATAACTTCTTGTTGCAGTCACAGCCATCCCATATACCCTGGACTGGAAACAAAGACAAATGAAGATGAAAAGGAAAAGTAACAGAACAATTTATAAATGAGTTTTTTCACTTCTGACATGAGCTCATTTGGGCTCAGCTCAGTCCCTGGAAAACTAATTCTCCTTCTAATCTGTGTTTACAAAATATATAAATTGCACTAACCAAAAAGTGACATTTTCTCTAACTAATTCAGGAAATATTGGTCCGATCAGAGGGTGGTTGGGGTCCATTGGTAGGGAAAGGCTGAAGAAAGCTCATGATTAAACAAAAATGGAGACTACCTTCCTGTTTCGCCCCAGGAGAAAATGGTTCACAGAGCAGGGTTGAGTTATAATAGTGGAGCTATGTGGGCATATGGGGGTGTGTGTGTGTTTGTGTGCATGGGTGTGTTTGGGGGAGAAGTTCTGACCCTAATGAGCAAGGAAACTGTCTTGAAACAGAAAGGATCACTGGAATAACATGTTCAGTTCTGATATCCACACTTCAAGAAGGATGCTGATAAATTGAAGAGGGTTCAGAGAAGAGCCACGAGAATGATTAAAGGACTGGAAAACATGCCTCAGAGTGATAACCTAGATTGAGCTCCCTGAGACTAACAAAGAGAAGGTTAAGGGGCGATTTGATCATAATTTATAAGTACCTACATGGGGAACAAAAATTTAATAATGGGCTCTTCAGTCTAGCATACAAGTATATAATGAGATCCAGTGGCTGGAAGTTGAAGCCAGACAAATTCAGATTGGAAATGAGACACAAATTTTTATTAGTGAGGGTATTAACCATTGGAACAGTTTACCCAGGGTTGTGATGGATTTTCTGTCATTGGAAATGTTTAAATCAAGATTGGATATTTTTCTAAAAGATATTCTGTTGTTCAAACAGGAATTACCGGTAATTCAGGGAAATCCTATGGCTTGATGATCACAGTGGTACCTTTTAGCCTCATCATCTGTTAATCTAACGGAAATAATAGTTCCTTACCCTCAGACACTCTGCCTAGTATGAAAGTGTAAGTCATAAATCAATCCCTGTTTTCTTTACCTCCTAAATTTAGGGTCAGGCAGATTTGTACGTTGAAGATACTGTTAAATACTCCACTGATGGCATTGAAAATCGAGCTCAGAGGCCTCTGGATGAAATTCGGCAGTGATCCATCAGTCCATCTCAGAGAAGTACCCTGCAGAAAAGTAATACAGAAGTTTAATGAGAACTGCAGAGAGAACAGGTATTCTAATATTCTGCTGGGATTGAAAATGAGTGAAGGAGTGTGAGGGGCCTTCAACAGAAATGTGTGCGTACCCTTATTGCCTACAGTCACGCATTGGCCTATAGAGCTGCATGAATAATTCATTTTGAATAACATATTATATTCACTTCACCTCTTCTTCCCTTTGTGAATTGTCCTCAAATAGATTGATTCTGAATAACAAATAGATTCAGGAAAATTGTAATCTATAACTCACTTATGAGGAGTTCATTGCAGGTGTTCGATTTTTGAGATGTTTGGAATGGACTGAGAACACATGGTACATTTCCGGTCCCTGATTGCACGTATATAACTCATAGAATCAAGTTTCTAGTTCAAATAGTAATGATTACAAATATGAGGTTCACTTTCTTTGAATATTCCACAATACTAGTTGTAAATTCATTGTATCAGCAAAAGCTCCTACCAGTAAACTCATTTCCTAGAATATTGCTGAGAAGACAGTCCAAGTGAATTCATTACAAAATATCTGAATAAATATATTCACAGAAGCTTTTGATAATATTAACTCATTTCTACTGAGCTCACATTCTGCCAGGCAGAAATTAAACCTAGAACCCATTATCCACAAGCCAGTTTACCCAGCGAAGCCTGAACCCAGGTCATCCTGCAGTTGTGGGCTAGAGCTGGCTGGAATGTGCATGTATATGTGTGTGTGGTGGGGGGAGGATGGGGTTCTGAAGATTTTTTTGTTAAAAAATCAAAACTGAAAACAAATTGTTTATAGCAACTGACAATATTTTAGTTTTTCCACAATTGAAAACCAATTTTTGGGTGGGGGCTCAAAGCTAAAAATATTAAGTTGAAAATCACTGAAAACCAATAAGTTTTCTATGGAAAAATTTTGCAACCCTTCTGTGAACCTCTCCTTGCTGGTTATTATTTTCATGCCTTTTCTGGGTATACTTACCTTTTGGTAACTTCCTCCTGTCCAGAACTGGGTTGTCCTTTTGTCTTCATAACTGGCGAGGTTCACAAGGAAATCATTCTGAGCTGCACTGGAGATGCTGGTGAGGTGACCTCCCCCTGCTATCCTCTGGCAAACACTCTGCACGGTAAAAGCAAATTAGACCCGGGGACATAGAGTGGGAAAGAGAGTGAGGGGAGAGTCTGTGAAACAGAACGGGGAGAGAGAAAAGTGGAAAAAGTTTGGGAATGGGAGTGAAGAGGGAAAGAGAGGCAAGAATATAAGAGAGAGTGAAGAGAGAAGGGCAGTGGAGAATGAAAAGAAAGGGGAGAAATAGGACATAAGAGATAAAGTTGTATAAAGGGAGCAGAGAAAGACATACAAATGGAGCAAGGTGTAGGTGTGAAGTGGAGAGCGGAGAAGTGTGAGAGGAAGAAATAATGATAAAGGGGAAAACAAGAACACTAAGTGTGGAATGGAGAGAGGGCAGAAAGGGAGAAAAGTAGAGAGAGAAGAGGAAGATGGAGAAAATTGAAAGGCCAAAAGTGTTTAATAAATAGTTTTTCTTCCTGTGTTCCTCAGCCATCCACCAATCAAGATGGGGTACAGATTTCTCTTAACTATCTTCTGCTGAGTGGGATTGTGTGATTTTTGCCTCTATCCTCAGGTAAGAAGATGTTTCTCTTTCCCCTAAGGCAGGAGGCCCCTTTGTCTGCAGCCTGAAATGAAGGCACGGTTTGCTTTGGCCCTAAGGAGCCCTTTGCCAGTTCACCTTGATGATTAAGGCATTTGTTTTGCCATTTAAACTGAACACATTCTCATACCCATAACCAAGGAAGGAGGCAGCACCACTTAGCAAACATTTACATCGAGTGCATTTGAGGGAGGTGTCTGCATTTTGAAAATTTGCATATTTTGACAAATATATCAGTACATCAATGTAGCACTGGCCTCATCTGGTATCATTAGAACAGGGAGTGAAGTGAAGTCAGAATATTTTTTAGCAAGCCTCTGAGATTTAGAGGAACATAGACCAGGCAAGAGGAATTTGCTCTTCAGAAGTGTTTCCTGAGGCAGACAGATAAAAGTTAAGCCTCCTAGGGTGGGGCCGACTGCCTCACAAACAGGAAAATCACCCTAACCTTCCCTTCAGCTTGGTGTTAGGATTTTAACAAGGAATTAGAAATTCTCTGGCTTGTTCCTGAGTTTAGATGGAAAAATGCCAATGTTGAAAGGCAGTGAATCCTGACCAGTGGAGAGAGATGGGATTAAATGAGAGCTGTGTTCAGATTTCAAAAGTTCCGAGAGCTGAGTAGGAGTTGGTTCATAGCTACCCGAGCATCTCACATCCCTAAGCTTCATGCTGGTAGTTCACCCACATGTTCAGCCCCGAAATGTGTATCAAGTACCTTCTGCCAGGATTGATACATTTCAGGAAAATCAGAAAGGAAGGATAAAAGAAACAAAAAAGTAAAAGAAGATAGAACAAGGGGAGAGAGAGAGAAAATTCTCATTTTGAAGAACCTGGTACCTCAGCACCGGCCCATGTATTTTGCTCCTGGACAAACTTGTAACACAGGCCCATGTTACTAAACCATCCATCCTGGCAGGGACCTTGGCAGAACAATTTTGACTCTACTAAGGAGGAGTCAGCTTGATCTGGGACTTGAATGTTCTTAGATGAAGACTGGCTGCCCTCAAGTATGCTGAACAAGGACCGGACATCACGATGTTTGACATCTGGGTTCTTGTCACCTATGAGAAATACAAAACCGACTCCCAGAGAGAGGTACGGGAAGAACGAAGTGGGCATTCACCCACGAAAGCTTATGCTTCAATACATCTGTTAGTCTTAAAGGTGCCACAGGACTCTCTTTAAATCTAGTTAAACTAAGTTATAACAGTTCCTAGGGAGAGTCTATATAAAGTGAAACAAGAATGATTTACTGAATATAATTAAGAGCAAATACTGTACTAGATATTCAGCGGGACAATGAAAATTCAGCAAATGAAGTGCACTCGTCTTAGGAGTCAAGTTCTGATGAGGTCATAAACATTGCAGGGTACAATGGATCCACTTCTCTACTTCACAAAACCATGTCAGTGGTTGGTGCAATGCATTGTAGCTTGCTGATTCCTCTCTGGCTGTGCCTCTTGGAGAGACTGCAGGGGGTACAGCAGGTCAGAACTGAAAGGCATTGGTGGGTATTTTTTGGTCTCCCAGACTCAAACAGCAGTTGGTTCTGCAGATCAGGATTATGTGTATTAGCAAAGCTTTGTCAGGGAGGACCCAGGACAGAACTAGCAACGTGAATTGCAGGCTGGGGCTGAGGTGTATTGACACCTTTAGGAGAGAAGGAGGAATACTAGAACAATACAGGTCTGTCAGGCCAGAATTAAGATTAATTTTGTGAAAATTATTGCAGTCAATTTCTTTCCAACATCCTTCTTAGTAAACAATCAGCACAGTTGGAGTCAACTTCCAAATATCATTGATTTATCTCCCAAAACCACATATGGTAATTTCCTCTACCTCCTTAGAATCTGCTTGTATCCATTCAAGTTTCATCTTGTGGAAGCCCCATTTCCCCCCTCTAGAGCTAGATGTGCCTGGCACTAGCCCAGCAACAATATGGTGAGGAAGGTGCAATGAACATTTTCATCCCACCACTCTCCCTTTGGAGCTCCCTGCCAGGATACTGCACATTCTGGGTCATTTTTAGTATCTGGGGACTCAAGCCATCCCAAAGGGAAGAGGGGTGAATTATGGTGCTGCACCTTTCCTTCAACCCCGCCTTACAACCAGCAGAGATAGCCAGCAGCAGACAGCGGAGCATGCTGCACCAACTTCAGGAGCAGTACAGGCACAATGCAGTGCTTGTGCTTCCACTGCACTCTCTGGTCTTCCATGAGAAATCCCTCCTGGAGCACTCCTTAGGGTGGTGCAGGTATAACGCCAACAGACCCTGGTCGTTGGTGGGCAGGATCGAACCAGGGACCTTTGGAGCTTAGTGCATGAGCCTCTACTGCATGAGCTAAAAGCCAATTGGCTGTTCGCTAAGGCTGTAGAGCAAACTCATTTAACTCTCTCTCTCTCAGTGATCTTGGTGCCACTAAATGGGACAGAACACCACACCCAGAAGGTATGTGAGTTACAGAGGCCCACACCACCTCTAATGCAAGGGCAAGTCACTAGCATAATGGACGGACACACACACTCACTCTCTCTCTCCCCCAGCATCTCCTATGCCTGTCAGTCTTAAAGGAGCTCATTCTCATTTTATCCCTGCCTCAGTCATACTGGGAAGAGCTGTACTTCTGGGTTGAGGGCAGGGCGTGGATCATTTGGAATTACTGAGGACCTTTTGCAGCTCTTTGCATGTAGAAGACTTGCACAAGGGCACATCACACTAGACCTGGCTCCAACCTTTGCTCATTATCACTGCATTGCAGAAATATTAAACAATACCCCTGATTCATTCTACGTTAAAAAAACCCAAAGCCTCAGACTTTTGCTCTATTAACTTAAAAATAATTCTGTGCTGCTAACAACAAGAAGCAAATGATGAGGCTACGTTTCTTTTTTTGCAGCATCAGCCAGACATTCTAGATACGTTATACTCACCTTCCAAGCCTGGGAGAACCAGTACGCCTAGCAGCAGGAACAAAAATGGAAGGGACTTCATTGCTATGAGACCTTGCGACACTGTTGCCTGCAATGTGTAAATATCAGGTAGAAGTTGTTTATCCAGGCACCTGACTGCTGCAGTGCTAAAATAATAATGGCAGGAGAGGGGTAAAATGGAGTAACTGGATACTAAAGAAAGAAAGATGGAACAGCCCAGGGAAAGGAACTTTGTGAGCATGATGAATGAGGATTTCTCCATGGACTCTAATTAACATTAATGTGAATCACATGGCTAACTCTGATACACAGCAGGCCAAACTCAACCCTAGTGTGACTTGGCTTGGCTAGATGCTGATCTTCATTACATTGGGGGCACATCTCAGAGTAATTCCATTTAATCCATTGGGGTTACTCTGGATTTACACAAATATAGTGGAGATTAGAATCAGGTGCAGTGTCTTGAAAACACCTCGTCCCTCCCCCACCCCCAAATAATTAAGAGAAAAAGTAAGAAATGTATAAAGAGGAAGCTGATACATGCATAAGAAAGACAACTATTGGCATGTGTGTATATATGTAAAGTGTATATGTATAGATAGAAAGAAAAATAATATAATAAATAGACTGAGAGAGACAGAGAACTAGAGACATGCAGAAAGAGGCATATTAAAAAAAGAGATTGATAAATACCAAATTGCAGATTCTCTCTGTTTTTTCTTCCTCCTTTTCACATTGGTGAGAAATAAAAACTGTGCCCTTGAGATATTTATGATGCCAGCTTTGGCAAGGATGGCTACTCCCTTTGGTAAATGAGGCCAGCTCCAATATTTAGCTTGAAATCTTTTTTATATAGTCTCTCTCCCTTAAACAAAGATGGGTGGGGTCCAATTCTGACATCTGTGCTATTTTAAGCACGCTTGGCTTGTTTAGCAAAGCCTTTCAGAAACACACCTTAATCTGAAGTGTCTACTGAGAAATTATGGGAGAACAGATAAGTTCCCTTCACAACATGGGAGGAGGTAGGGCTGTCCTTCTAGGATGACCCTTATAAAAATAGGCTACAGTTCTGGTTCCAAATACAACAGTAACATCTGTAATATTTGTGCCCATCATTGTAGAATACTTTATCTAAGGGAGGATGAGGTAGAGGAGCAGAGAGAGAGAGAGAGAGGTGTCTATGTATGAGTGTGTGTTTTGCAGGGCAGGAGCCTAGAATTGAGAAAACGTGGAAACTATATTTCTTATCCTGTCAGATGAAGACATTCCCTTCAGGACAAAGCTCAGGTCTGTTGATGAAGCAATGGAACAGGTCAGAGCTGAGAACCCATTCAAGCTCCATTAAACATAGAATCATAGAATCATAGGACTGGAAGGGCCTTAAGAGGTCATCAAGTCCAGTCCCCTGCACTCATGGCAGGACTAAGTATTAACATACAAAAGCTTCCCCGTGCCATGCCCTTTTCTCAAACCTTGTCCAAACACCCTCATGTACAGTAAATACTTCCTGCATCCATTAAATGCTCTGAATCACGCTATGTGATTGGAGCATATGTTTGAGTTCATGCATTCATTTAAAACCCAAATATTTATTAAAGGGGTGAAACAGACTCCTTTCCCCCCTCTCTTTGTACAAATATAGTTTCATTGCCACCAGGTCCAGGGAGAGTTGTTCTCTAAAGCTAGTCCTGGCTCTTTAAAATTAAAAAGAGGTATAGTGATTAGCTGGGGTGTATTCATTAGCGAGACCTCAGAGACTGGATCCTAGAGCCTCCTTAAAGATGGACTGTGGGACTGGTTCTGTATAGCTCCCGGGTGTTCATCCCAGTGGCAAATTTCCCTTTGTTTTATCTTACAAACAGCATACAAGGGCCTGACTCTGCTATCCTAACTCACACTTAGAAGCATCTAATCAGGCGAGATACTCATAGGGTGACCAGACAGCAAGTGTGAAAAATCGGGACAGGCGGTGGGGGGTAATAGGAGCCTATATAAGAAAAAGACCCAAAAATCGGGACTGTCCCTATAAAATCGGGACATCTGGTCACCCTAGATACTCACAATGTGAGCAACAATTGCAAAGTCCTATCCTTCATCAGTAGGCTGCTTCTCTTGCCCTTCCAGGTAATGTGGTATGGGAAAAGGTGTTTGGTATTTGTTTTGTGGTGAAGGGCAGTGTGTTAAAGGAGGATTATGTACTAAACCCATAAAATGATGGTAAGTAAGTGCTCTGAGTAGTTTACCCACTTCTCATTCTCACCATAATATATTTATAAATCAGTTTCTGAGTGCATACTGCATGCCATTTACTATATAGCAAAATGTCTCTCCACTACCACTAGATAAGTACATTGTAATGGTACCAATTCATTTAATCAATGGATCTGACCTCTCCTTACTTGGTTCATGACTAGTCTGTGATCTGATAATGATTTTCTTGAATTTATTCATTACTTGAAATTACTCACTAAATACTTTCTGCAGATAATTCTCAGCCTGTAGATTCTTTGTGAGCAGCTCACTGAGCGTATTAAAAAAATGTGCTATTTTGATCAGACACATAAGCCACATTGTACGCTTCCATTTCCTGCCTGGATGAACATAACTCTGAGAAGGAAGTTACAGAGCATGCATTTAAAATTTGCTTTCCATGAATATCCTGCAGTATTCGCTGGATATTCACAGTTTCTGTGAACATTCCTATCTGTACATTCATTTGCTAGAATATTCATCAAAAAAAAAATACAGAAAGTTGCTGAATGGGACTTTCAATTAACTTAGGAGTACACATCCCATTGAAAGTCAATAGGACTTGTGATTCTACCTCACTTAGGTGCATTTGAAAATTCCTCCTGTTAACACAGTTGAATCACGTTTGTTGATAAATTTGAAGGTATATTTATAGAACATTTTTGTAGGATTCACCTGGGTCTATTCTCTGTTCTCTCTACCTGTGTAGGGCTGTCTATCTGCTGTTTGTTTCTCATAATATGGGCATGCTCCATTTCCCAGCACACCTGCATGGTGGAAAGATTCACTGTTCTATTGGAAGTGCTATTCTTCAAAATTAAGGCATTCTCCCAGCAACCCCTGCTGTCTGTCTGTCCACAAGTGTTTTTATAACCACAAAATGATGACTGAGCAAACGTTTCATTTAGCTGTTCAGAGAACATCCAGATCCCTGGGAGAATTAGAATGGTCAGACCCATCCCTACACAGCAAAGATGTAGTCATTGTAAAAATCAGCAGGTTGATGGTCAGAGATTGCTCAAGGCACTTAGCCAACTTCCCAGAGATCCTTGTAATTCTCTCTCTCCCCCTCTATGTTGCTAGGATATTTGTCAACAGAATGAAAGTGACAGTTCCTGGGAGAAACTGAATTTTGTATTAAGGTTGTCTTGTGTGGAAAAGTGAAGCTGTATTTCCAGGGGTGAGTCAGAGCTGAATAGAATTTGCTTTATATATGAAGTCTTTCATATTCCAGGTAACTCAATGCACAACTTTGTAAACTAAATGCTAGCAACTAACATTTAGTTAGGGGGGGAGGAATAGCTCAGGGGTTTGAGCATTAGCCTGCTAACCCCAGGGTTGAGAGTTCAATCCTGGAGGGGGCCATTTAGGGATCTGGGGCAAAAATCTGTCTGGGGATTGGTCCTGCTTTGAGCAGGAGGTTGGACTAGATGACCTCCTGAGGTCCCTTCCAACCCTGATATTCTATGATTCTAACTCACTAACAGTGTAGATAAATGCAGGAGGTGTTGTGCATTAAGCAGCAGCACACATAGCAGTAGATGTCAGAAGCACTTCTCCTAAAAGAGAGAGGAGGGGAAATGTTGACCTGGATTATCCTTTATATGCATATTGGAAAAGTGTCATGGGATCTTTGATTTCACCATGGGCAGAGGTGGGGTGGGATTACCTTGCTTTAAATAGCCTATGATTTCAGGAAAGATTTAATTGCTATGCTTTCCACTATGCCTGAAATACCTTCCAAATCCTGCATGCCCTGTAACCTCCCTTTCCTTCATATTCCTCCTCACAACTCGCCTATTCCCACGCTCTCTCCAACGCTGACTCCTACACCCATGCTGTCCTTCTAACGTAGGTAGGATAATAACATTTAAAAAGCTGGTAGTGCTGTGACCCAAAGTATAAAGGAAGCAACCTTATTAGCTTGCCCTGCGTCGTTTCCCCTTCTATTATGTCATACCATATCCAATTTACAATTGAAATAGGCTTACTACCGCTATATCGCACCTTCCTCACAATTGACTTCCTTGGAACTGTTTGTGGGGTAAGGCACAATCTCATGTGAGTAAGGGTATCAGAATCTGACCCTTAGATTGTAAACTCTTTGCGGCAGGGATTATCTCTGTGTTCTCGCTGTAAATAATTATATACTTAAATTAATCCCTAGCACCAGCACTCTACAATGGGTAAAGAGGGATAGGAAGGTGTCTCCATTTTAGCATTATGGAGTGTGAGGTCTGTGTGGTTTCCAAAGTCCAGTTTGAAAGGTGACAATTTACTATTCACAGTTATGAGAGCAAAGCATTTGCACAAGGGAAAGGCAGACAGAACTCTGGTTTTGGTTCTTCTCTTCCACAGGGCTGTACCCAGAGTTCATTCCAGGTGGGCACAGTGATCCAGTTCTTCTTTATGCTTCTTTCCAGGGCCTCCAACCAGAGCCCATTCCATGTGGGTCTGGAAATTTAGTTCTGGTTTTGTTCCTCCCCTCCAAGGAGTTGTACTGGATATTTGAAAGATCATGAATAATTATTGATATAAAGTTTGTTTTTGTCTCATGTTTTGTGAACCTGTCTTTTGAGAGGCTGGGTAAGGATGGGTGAAAACTGGAAGAAGAATCCTGGTCCCTGTCGTTCTCCAAAAGTTTCATGCATACAAGTTCCTCCATCTGCTCAGGATACCTACTTACTGAAGGTAACAGACTGATAGCAGGCCTAGTTTAGCTTTCTTTGTATTTCACTCACAGCCCTGGGGTCTTACTTAACTCTTTTAGTTAAATGAAACAAAAATGTCCCTTTAGGAGCAGAGGTGACATCTTAGAGGGTACTAGCCATTCTTGTAGCCTCGTTTCTGAGTATTTAAATAGTTAAAGAATTTGCAATTAAAACTTGTCTGTAAAGGTTTCTTCCTCAGGTTTAATTACTGCTTTATTTAATAAAATCCCCCTGCAATAGAACAATGGACTTGAATCCTCTCGTTACACTTTGAAATCAGTTTAGAATCAGATGTAAATTTAGTGCTAACAGTTAAATTGCCATGTGCTGCTGTGCTCTTACAGGACCTGAAGCGAGGCCAGAAATGCTACCTCTACAGCATCATGAGAGTTTATGACAGCAAACCTCTGAGGGAAATGCTGTCGCATCAGTACATGCTCAATCTCCAGCGCCAGAATTTGCTGGGTAAGTGCCGGCTGGTATTGCTATGTCCATCAGCAATCTATAGAAATTGGAGTCTGGAGGGTAAACCTGGGGTTTGAGGGAATTAGGATGAGAAGTTTATGGTGCCATATAAGACACCGGACACACAAAATGGAGCCTGGAATAGTTTGTAGGCAGAGATCAGGAAGCCTTTGGCTGATGAACTCTGCCTTCTGCAGCAGAGACCACTGTGACAACAAGCAGCAAAACTGTAGGTTTGATGTTATTTATTCATTCGCAGAGTGTCTATCCCTAGCTCCAGGTGTTATTTACAGAAATGTTGAATGCATAAAATCAGAGGATAAAAGTTATTAAAGAAACTATGTCATCTCCTTCCATCAAGGTGTCCGGTAGCCATTCTCTTCATCCAGCCATCCCATCCCTCATCCCACACTCTTACCAAAGATCAACAAAAATCAGATGGATCTTTGTCGCATGCCTTGAAGGTCAACAAATTTTGGCTTTGATAGACAATGAATTTGAGTTGAAGACCTTTCATGGAAATTGCCCTACCAGCCACACCCTCTCCTAACCCACACCTTGCAGCCCAAAAACCTGTTAGCTCAACTGCCTGTGCTGACCACAACGGCAGTGATATCCACACAGAAAGGTAGTCTCTGAGGTAGCTGGGTCCCAAACTATTTAGGACTTTGTAAGGTCAAAATCAACTTATTAAATTCCATTCAGATTACAGGGAGGAGATTATGGTCCATGTAATTAGAGAGGTCAACAATGGAGTCAAGCAGCAGAAATTTTCTTCTCATGGTTAAGCTAGCACCACAGATGCATAAGTCTCAAATATCATTTCTTCTCTCACCACTGACCACATTAGGGACAATGTCACATATCCGTGAGACAGCAGCTGCCAGCAAAAGGTTCTGAAGCTCCAATTGTACTTAGATATATTATCTTCAGACTTCATAGCTCATGCATGGCAAGGAGCATTTCTCATCCCATCAGTTTTAACACACCATGCTGCATGAAGTGATGCTGCTGTATACCTTGTTCAGCTAGTTTTTATATGGAGCTTGATGTTTTTCCAGTGCAGGCTCCCCTCTCTGGTGAATTTATTGGTATGCAACATCACTGCCCATCAAAGATATAGCACTTGTGTATGTATGTGTGTATAATACTTGATTCCTGTCCATTTTCCCTATCCTCTCACCCAGGTCATATTACTGAGCATGAAGTCAGGTTTTACACCTCCTTCCTGGATCAAGCTGAAGAGAGAGACCCAATAAAGGTCTCAGCTAGAAACAGCACCTCTCTGAAGTCCAGTGTTGGGAGAACTCAGCTGTAGTTCATCGATTCTAAGGCCAGAAGACATCACTGTGATCATCTAGTCTGACCTGCTGTATAACACAGGCCATAGAACTCCCCCAAATAATCCCTGTTTGAACTAGAACCTCTCTTTTAGGAAAAGATCCAATGTTGATTTTAAAATTGCCAGTGATGGAAATTCCACTATATCCCATGATAAATTGTTCCAATGGTTACTCTCAGTATTAAAAAATTGTGCCTTATTTCCAGCCTGAATTTGTCTAGCTTCAACTTCCAGCCGTTGGATCGTGTTATACCTTTGCCTGCTAGACTGAAGAGCCCATTTTCAATTTTTTTATTTCCCAGGTAGGCACTTACAAGATATGATCCCCCCTTAACCTTCTCTTTGTTGAATCAGGTTGGATTAGAAAAGCCAGCATGGACATACTGAGGTCTCAGTGGAAAGATGTCTGATAATTGTCTGTCCTTCACTAACCTTTTTCTGTTAGAGTCTATCTAACTCTGACATTAATTGATATCAACTATCCCTCATTTAAACTTAATCTCCATCTTTCCCACCAATTTGTAGGAATTCACGGTGACTGAGTCCAGCCAGCTGGACTTTGTAGGGACCGGAGGGATTGGCAGTTAGTCCATCTTTCTGTGTTTAAAGCACTGGCTGTATTTCAACGTTAAAAAGTTTGCGATGAAGACTGGCACTTCTGAGCTGTGGTGTTGGCTGCCTTGTGGAGTAGAGAGGTATGTGACAAGAGCAGGCTGAGAAGGGCTGGATGGCAGACAGCATAAAGCAGCATCCATCAGGCTGTGGTACTGATTTAGGCTGGATTTTCAATGGAGACTAAGGTAGTTAGATGTCCAAAGGCAAAAGACTTTCAGTGTAAATTGGATGCTGAACTTCCTTTGAAATCCCAGCCTTAAACATGAAATGAAGAATGTCAATATGTAAACAAAATTAAAAATGTTCCACCATATGAACTTTCTGCTGGATAAAATGGAGGCAGCTACTTTTTTTAAAGTCTGGGAAGCAACTTGCATGACCATGGGTCCAATTTTTTGTCTGTCTCCTCCCTTTAGGAACAAGGGTCCTGGGTCCACTAGCTCCCATTTCACCTCCTTCACTGTACTGCAGATCTGCTTTGAGCTGATCTGCACCCACCTCCAAGTGACACAGTGACATATATTGCATAACCCAGATATACTATTCCTGCATTCTATGAAGGGCTTTCCCACAACATCTATGTCTGAAAGAACTGGGCCTCTTCTCCCAGGAATAATTAGATTCCAAACCCATCTTCCGTAGCCCTAAGGAGGGCAACAGTGAGATCATCCTGAACCATGCACCCTTTAACAACTGGAAGACAGGAATCCAGACCAACCTCTCTTGCCTTTAACTCTTGAGAAACAAGGAGGATGGAGAAAATTCAAAAGAACACGGTAGGATTAAGAATTAGCAGATGTTACAAAAAATACTAACTTTGGTTGGGGCTAATTGGCACCCCAGCTGACAGTCCGTGCATAGAGGGCAAGGATAATACAGGCAATGGAGCAGAAGTGGTTTGTTCAGGCCAGGGCTGAAGCACATTGGTGGTGAAGTGGGAGGAAGCTGGCACTGCTGCTGCCACTGCTGTGTCTGTTCTGTGATTAGAGGACATCATTCTTCAAGGCTGGCAATCCAGACCCTTTTCTGAGCACCAAATTCACTTCAATAGAACCAGCTGAATTTTTTCTATCGAAACTGTCTTTCAAGGGAAAATTCGATTTTTGGCTAAATGAGAGCTAAACTGGGTTTTCAGTGGAAAATTTTGACTTGGAAGATGTAGTCCAGCCAGGCAGGCCTGGCCCATATGGGAGAATGGGGGATGAGGCACCGAAACTACAACTCCCATGAGTAGGGTGAGCAGATATCCTGATTTTATAGGGACAGTCCCAATATTCGGGGCTTTGTCTTATATAGGCACCTATTACCCCCTACCCCATGTCCCAATTTTTCACACTTGCTATCTGGTCAGCCTACCCATGAAGCACTGTGGCAGCATAGGCGGACACTGCCCTGTGACTAAACATTGTGGCAAAAGGGTTCAGTTTTGTTTTTCCTGGTGGAAACTTTCAGTTTTGATTGAAAATATTTGATTTGCAGGTTTTTGATGAAAAGTCGCAATTTTCCACAGGGGGACTCCCCCCCCACCCCATTTTCTAAGCAGCTCTACACTTAATCAGGCTAATTATGCAGAAATTAAAGGCCTTATTGTTAGGCTAACAATAAATCTAATTACATTCAACTTTATTGGGATGAGTAATAGCAAAGGGGATCCTGATCAGCGGCGCTCCATCTGACCCAATGAGATCACAGGCTGCTCAGCACCTGGCAGGATGGGGCCCGTTGGATTGCTGGCAGTTTTCTGATTTTGCCTCAATTTTTTAGCCTTGGAGATGTAACCCTTCTGCCAGGCCAGTTGATAGCAGCAAGGGCCGGGTTCAGTACATAGGGGTCCCTTCCCAACAGCGTGACACAGAACCAGCTCGAGCCCCCACCCAGTGACCTGGGAAAATCTTACACACACTCTTGGGTGCCTCGAAGAGGCAATTCTTCCCCTCTCGCAAGCACAGAGCCTCGGTGTAGCAGAAAATGTTTAATAACATGAGGTAAATGACATAGCATTAAATTGGGAAAACACCACAACTAGAGTTCATAGACCAAACCATGAGCAAAGACCCACCCCAGCAGATTGGGCCGTGTCCTTTCCCGTTGGTTCTTGAAACCAGCGACCCAAGAATCACCAAAGTCCCAAAAGTCTAACAACCCCCCAAAGTCTCTGTCCCTGGTTGGTGCAGCCCCAGAGTTCAAAGGGGGGGGCGGCGCGCAGGGTGTTAAGGGGCACCTTA